AGCAAATAATTAAAATTGTTATTGTATATAGCAATATGGATATTATTAATATCGCTAATAGTTTGAATGCTATAGGGTTTGTTATAGGGTCTATACTATTGTTAGAGTTTTCGATTGTTGGTGTTGGTATTATTGATAACATTGTTGTTATATGATATCAATGTGGTATAGATTACTAGTATTTCGATTATTGCAGTTGTTTTTAGTATTGATATGGCTATTATGTTTTGTATATATGGTGGTAATAATAGTAAAGCTATTGTTAGTACTGTTGTTATTATTGTTTCTGTTAATATTAAAGCTGCTTTGGCTATTGTTTGTTTTTGTATTCACTTTCTATATTGTCTTTAGTAGTATTGTAAGCTATTTAGTTGTTCAATATCAAATAGGTCTAGATTATTGTTAATATTGTCATAATATAGTAGTCTGAATTATTGTACTTGATAATTATACAAGTCTTTTCCCTTGATTGTCTTTTGTTAATGTTTGCATTTTGTTGTTATTCTTTTGATACAAAATATAAGTATTGATACTATTGTTGTCAGTATTGTTGCTAGTATTCCTAGTATTTCTGCTAATAATAGTAGGTTAATGGCATTATTGTTGAAGCTTTGTGTTGCAGTAATTATTATTATCATTGTTTTGCTTTGATTGTTTTCTGTTAGCATATTCTTATCTGTTATAGTACTTGTTGTTGTTGTAAAGCTTGTTGGCGTAGAGGTAGCTGGTATGCTTATTACAATTATGTCTGCTAGTATTGTTGTCTTTTTTCTGTTTATTTGTTCTGAGGCTAAAATTATCAATATTATAAATATTATTAGTTGGATTGTTCTCAAAATTGTGAGGTTGATGATTATTTTTATTTATTGTTTTCTGATTATTGTTTGATTATTATCATCTAATTGTTAATACTTTGGTCATAATATAGTATGTTTTCTAAGATAGCTATTCTTAGATTCTTTATACAGCAAGTGCATGCTATGTCACTTCTGTTGGTAGTTACGACTTTAGTCTAGTAGTAGTTATAGTTAAGTATACTAATTAACTTTAGACAATTAGTTTGTTCACTTGGTATTATTTTGTCAATATAGTTTTTCTTTTATAAATGGTTTCTTTATTAATAATATGCGATAGTTATAATATTTAATATAGTAAAATATAATATTAATATAAAAAAATATATACTATAGAAGTATGAAGTATAGTATTAAATAACTAATATTCAAATAGGTGTGGCGGCTTAGTGAAGTGGTCTAGTCGTCACCCTACCAAGCAGCAGGTCTAGAGTTCGAATCCTATGAATGACGTTTTTCGAAAAATAAATCTGCATTAGGTAACGATTATTTATCGATCAGTTAGATCTACAATCTGTAATCTTGGTTGTACCATCTTGTTATGGAAGCTTCAGCGCAGAAATGCCAAGAAACCGGGATGATTGAAACCCGTTTGGGAAGACCCAAGTAAAGAGGTAGCAATACTTTTGATAGTGCTACAGGAAGGCTAAATTTAGAAGTAATAGCTAAGATTGGAGAACCGAATGACAACAAGATCCTTAAGTGGGAGGATCTACCAATCTGACCACCAATTTGAGAGAAGGCTAGCATACCAACCTAGTTAGCTAGCGTGAAAAACTGGGATGATCATCCACCGTGACTAGGATTTGAAAGTTAGGTTCAACCTAACGACAAGGGCTGGGTGATCTCTGGAGACTAGCCAGACCCAATTAAAGGAAAAAGATATGTATTATAAAATCATATACCACAATGAGATGGAGTATAAGGCACCTAGAGCCTAGCCAGGGTCAAATCTTCCAGGTCACAGGTTGGGAGTAAGGGAGGGACCAATAAGGCAATTACGGAAAAAGAAAGACCCGAATGTGAATACCGGGGTTGAAATAAACCTTACAAGGGTATAGTGGTTTAATTGAGTTATACCAAACTGCGAGTGGGAGCCTTGGCAACTGTGATGACTGGGTCAGCCGGATACGAGATACGAAAGGCTCCGGTAGGTTTACCTCAAGGATAGCCATGCGTTTGCTCAACGGAGGAATACAAGCTGGTAATTAGTTGGTGCAAACCCAGGATAAGTCACGGAAATCCTAAGGCAGGGTACGCAATCTAGTGGAATGGGCCAGATAGTAGTTCCCGGGTTAGTATAATATGCTAAAAATGGTTAGGATCAGAAGGTTTAAAATGGGTAACTCTCTAGTTGGGTTATAGATACAGCATCTAGTGTAGAATCTGTGGGCAGACTACTTAAATAGGCACTCAAAAGGTGCACATGTGGCTAGTTGTATCTTCATTGTAACTGTAATAGCAAATGATTACTAATAAAGAGTCCCCGTGGCCAAAGAGGTCACCTTAATACCGAAAAAAAAAAACAACCTAATATTCAAATTATATGTTCCTAGTTTTTCGTATGTTAACGAAGTTGTCGAAAGGTAAAGTGGTAGTTAATAATCACAATTGAGATATAGAGTGGTATAAGTATTACGATTAAAATTATTATCAAGTATTAATAACTATAAGGTTTTGAACGGAATTTTAATCAGAATTAATCACGAATATTTCTGAAGGTAAAAAGTCGAAGTTTAAATACATTTTGAATAATCTGTATACATTCATTACAATTTTTCGATTGTTATTAAACTTATAATATAAATTCTAATTATTTTTTTCAAATTTCTGTCTGTTCGGAATTAAATCATTCCTAATAAGCAAAGCTTATATCCTTTTACGTTAAAGATATCGATGTTTGTATTACGGGTCTTATCAGTCTAATTTAGGGTTTTCGTGTGTCAATATTCGATTAAATTAATGGCAGAATTTTTCTAAATTCATATTTGATAATCATCGGCAGATTTTTCAAATAACATGTTCACCGGATTCTTTACTATAGCCCCAAGTGAATGTCAAAACAAAAATCAAATGAAGCTAACGATAATTATTGTTAAGCATGACACCAGCAATTCCAAGTCACATGATTTAGAAGAGGATTTCTATTGGCAATTTTTTCGAGTAAGTTTGGGTGTAAAAATTTTTATTTTCAAGCTTTTTTTTTTTTTAGCTAATCAGATTGTCACTATTAAAGGTCCAAGGACTGTCTACATTATAAACATCCAATCACAATCCAAATTTATTACACATCGAATGCCGTCTTATTCGTTGAAAGCTTTAGTGCTTTAACAAAAAATGTTCCTTGAGCGATTTACTATATATTTTGGTAACGTCTAACCTAATAATATAAACGTTAACTCCATCATAAACAAATTTATTGGTGCGACACAATAAACATGTAACCAACTTTTTAGTGGCGATATAAATTTTATCAGATGGCCAAACTTTTTAGCCGTGCCATTCACCTACAAAAGACCCTTCCTCATATCCATCACATTCGTTGCATGAGACCGATCGGTCGCATTCGACGAATGCGACAAATGCGATCGGTATCCCTAAATATAGTTATACCCGAAAAGGCCGTTAAGTTTGGTTGGTCAGATCTTCTGGCCTTACCAGAGTGTCGATTAATAATTAATAATTAATAATTAATAAATGTTTATCTCGAATTATTTTACCAAAAAAGTTATCCTCATCCAGAGCCAGAGATTCACTGAAAATTAATATCGATATTTATTTTAATAAACAGACGGATCGACCAACTGACAACATTTATCGCGTCATTTAGTAAGAAACGAAAATAGGACTATGCTATTGGGTATGTCGGTTGGTATTCCAAAACTAATCAGCTTATGATAAATTTAGAGTAAGATATGCAGTCATATCAGTTTAACGTTAATGTTTGATCAAGCGATCAGCTTGGGATGTTGAATTTGAAATTTTGAAATTTGAAATTTATATGTACGTACATAACTAGTTTTAACAATGCAATTTCTTAGAGTATGGACAGCTTTATCATGTGATACGATATTAGAGAAAATAGATTAAATAATATTAAAGAGAAAGTAGATAAATAAATATAGTTGATAATTGAAACGCTTAAGTATTTTTGAGTAGCTAATATATATATGTGTGTTGCGTAACAGGAAAGTGACTAGCATATTATGAATACACGTTGATAAAGGTCAAAAATAAGAATTCCGTCCGGTCTTTCTTCGGGCTCGTTGATCAAACCTCACGGAGCCGAACTTTGGAATTGGAATTGACTTTCTTGATCTTAACGGTTTATTTTCGATTACGACATATGTTAATTTTAGCCAAAAGAAAATAATTCATATGAAGAAGTTTAGGCAATGTGTGAAGGCAATGACGTTTGTTAATTAATATTTTGCGTGTGATTGTTAATATTTCGCCTGGAAAACAATGGAATGGTTTTTTAAAATATAATAAAGATCTAACGTCTCAATCAGAGTACATATAAATATTGATGACAAATTAGCATTGAATTCCTTAATAAAGGGTCTGATGGTGAGGTGATCGCATTGAAGAAAGACCCTGCCACCGAATATTCGGATGATTCTGTAGAAATAACTTGGTACATTTTTCCGTTCATGTGAACGCTCATGAATATCTACACACTGGTAAATTAGAATGAAGGGCATGAAGGCATGAATTTAACTAATTTAGTTAGAAAGCACATTTATCCAAAATTTCCGAACAAAAAGTTGTAAAGATTGTATACGCCTTCAGAAATAAGCTTCATTTATATTTATCCATAATTCAAGTGATTTGTGTGTACATCATAGTCATGAAGAAATTTTTTTTACCCATTTACAGCCTTCCGAACCGTTATCTAATCAATTAATTTTAGTTAAATGCATAAATTAACACGCATAAGTACGTACTAGATAGAGCATTGATTAAAGAATTTGTAAATTGCGGCAGTAATTTTCTATCGACCTCTTAAGTTAGTATTTCGTGTTTTGCTCGCTGTTTAAAGATACGACAAATCCTTTATTAACAATTTCCTGGACCAGAGATAATAATATAGTCTTTTTAGTTGTATCTTTTGAGCATTGTCTTTATATGATAATAAACACCATAATGTCGCAAGATGCTCACTCTAATTCATGCAATAGTAATGGGGTCGACAAAGCAACCGAGCAGGAACTCATAATTATCTTGGAGAATGGAACAGATCCAACACCGGTACGAGCAATTCGCAGACCTGAACCAAAATTGCATGCTCCTGTACATGTACCTTTTCCACCGGCTGTAAATGCTGCCTCTTTAATTCGGATCAATAAGGATGGCGCATTACTTGCAAGATGTACGAATAAGTTTTTAATTTATCGTAATCAATTCGCGAAAGAAGTTAGGACGCAAGGGTACAATCTTTCTATGAGTGAAGTATCTTGTTTAGCAGCCCAAGCATGGAAACGGGAACCTAATCACGTTATCAGGAAATACAGTGATATTGCTCAAGAAGTTAAATGGCTACACAAGCAATTGTCTAGGTCGGGTTCCAAAAAAGGGAGGAAGACTTCGAATTCCTCATTATTATCTTCAGATTCCTCATTGTTAGGTTCTCAAGCGAAAAAAATTATAAGCAAAAATAAACCAGATCAGTTAATGCGTCTTTCTACGGCTATTACAAACGTATGCCGTAATCAACAGATATATGATCATCATTCACTTCAAGAATGTCATCAAGAATTACCAACAACTCCTTTAACTCCAGATTACTATTCTCCAGAATTTTCATACCCGTCACCATCGATGCTTAATTCACAATATCCAGTAAGAATAAGCGACATGATTAAAGATGCTTTTGTATCTGAAAATTATCAATACAACGATTTGGTATTGACCGTTAACTATTGCACAGACCAGTTTTCAATTTGACATTTACATAGTACTCGATAATTTTTTTTAACAATAAATTTTTTTAATAATCTAACTGTTGGTGCAAACATTAAACTACGGCAAAGCTTGTTTAGAATATTAATTGTATAATAAATATAATTTTTTTGTTCATTTGTTATTTTAATTTCTTAAAACTGTATAATACACTTTTTATTTGTAATTGTAAAATTAATGACGGTTTTAAAGGTATTTATCTATTAATTAACAATTACCATATATACAGTTAACTTTTTATGTATTATTTTTATGTTTTTAAATACAAAATTAATAAATTTTTTTGCATACAAAAACTAGCTTGGTCTCAAGTATATATGTTGTGCCTCAGGCTAACGCTTCCTCGGATCACAGCTGACGCACCTCAGGTGTAGATTGTTAGATGAGGTGCGTAACCTATCAATCGGTCATTACGCAAAGAAAAAAAATATGTATAGAATAAAAAGTATTATCGAAATTGAACGTGCTGAGAAAACTTAAACAGGGAAAGTATGCAGTGAAAATTTAGGCAAAAAAAAAACTGTACGTATAGAAAAACGTACATATTAATTGGAAATAAAATGTGCTGAAGAGGCTTAATTAAAAAAAATGCTCTGGAAATAAGACGACGCCAAAATGATTCAAAGATATAGAAAGAATAAAAAAAGCGTCTAAGTCAAAAAGTCTTATTTACTCTCTTACTTTCGTCAGATTGCAGTTTAGATGATCGATCAATAGTTTACGCACCTCACCTGACGATCTGAATCGGAGGTGCGTCAGCTGTGATCTGAGGCAAGCGTTAGTCTGAGACACAACATATATATATTATGTTCTAGAGTTTTTATTTAAACTAGGATAGACTTTCCCAGTATCGCCACCAAAAAGTTGCAGTCACATGAGGATCGAAAAATTTTTTAAAGTTCGTTTAGATTAGGGTTAGGGTCTAAACTAAGGTTCGGGTTAGGGGAGCTTTAATAGTAAAATCGCTCGAGGAAAACTTTTTGTTAGAGCACTACAGGTAGTTTCTTATGCTGCTTTTTGAGAAACAAGCGATTTTTGACAATTCGAACATTTGTTTTGAATTTTCTTGATCGTGTAACGTTACTCCTGATCTTGAAATCTGATTTGTCATGTGACTGCAACTTTTTGGTGGCGATACTGACTAGGAAAGAGGTTGGAACCGGGTTTATTTTTACAATCCGGATTTAGTCTTTCAACCTAAATCAAATCCGGGTTTAACGAATTTAGATAAATCGGTTTTTCGATTTTAATAAACATGTAAAACCGAATCAATCCGAATTTAAAAAAAACCCGGTTTTTGCGGTTGTAATAAACTTGTAAATTCGAATTTAATAAAACTGATAATTCAATTTTGTTGGTGTAATAAACTCGCAAAAGACATGTTGATTCAGAATTCTAAAAAGTAGAAAAAAATATATAGTAATACTTATCTTGAGCTTGGGTATTTTTACTTTCAAAAGAATATTAATTGTTATAGCTGAAGCTAGAAATTTTAATATGAAATTTTTAAAAATTTATAAAACCTTTTGTTTTTTTTAAAGTTATGTTAGTAGTTTTAATTATAAAAGTGTATAAGTGGATTTTGAAGAGTTTATATTTTTTAAATCAAGGTTTCTAATTTCTAGCTTTAGTTATTTCTAGCTTTGTATTAGGAACAGGATGTATATACTGTAGTTTACCTACAAAAAATTTTCTGTATACTGTGGTGCAACCAATCAAATTTTGGGATCAGGTGTTATATAAGAATGATACTTTCTTGTTTTTTTTTAAAAAATTTGCCAATAACTTGAAATTTTATCTATATAACTATCTTTTGTGTTATAACAAAAAAAAAATTTTAGTATAAACTATATATTTTTTTAACTTTAACACTAACTCTAAAGATAAGGCTTATTTATGGCTTTAAATTTTTGCTTTATTTAATTGGTTTAATTTTATATTACACCAGATCTCAAAATTTGATTGGTTGTGCCACAGTATACAGAAAAAATTTTGTGAAAGAGCTACTAATAATTAGAAACAGAGTAATAAAATCAAATATACAGTCTCAAAATCTAATATTCAATTGTTTAGTATAATTAAGACTATCATATCTTGCTTACATCATAAAAGTATTGGCCGGTGCAATAGATAGATACCTCAAATATGTAGATGTTAATCACTTCTTAATTAAGTTTAGTTTTATCAAATAAATCAGTACTCAGTTTTTTTATATAAATACTTGAAAATCTTACCTAACATATTGTACAACTTAAACCGATTTATAATGTCATTGTTGAACGATAAGCAAAGTGCTTCTCCATTAACAAACAACGAAAAAAAAAATGATAGTTAGTGCTCACAAATACTTTTCTGACTCTACTGCCACCAATAAGTATAATCAAAAGCTCATACTACGCAAGCGTATAGCCCTGGTATTGGGCATTTCAGAAAGTACAGTTGGGCGGGTTATCCAAGAATGGAATTAAAGCAGTGACGAAACTTTTAGGCCAAATAAAATTATTGGTTGACCCGAAGTTCAACCTAATCCTAATCTTATCATGATTATTCATAAAAAAGTCTTGGAATCAAACAAAGCAGGACAACCTTTGTCTACTACAGTATTATGTTAATACCTTCTTACAAAAGGACATGAGGTTTCTAAGTGGCAACTCCTTCGTTTGCTACATTCCCTGGGGTATTATTTTGGTCAGGGAGAAAGAAGAAATCTTTTACATGAATCTCCCAATAATGTTGCATATCGTTATCAATATCTTCGAAATAGACTATCAAATTTATAAGGAAAAAACCACGTACCTAAACGTCCTGAAGTATTTTTAGATGAGTTGTATTGTCATCTTCACCATACCACAAATAAAACCTGGGTTCCTCACAAAGGTGTTGTTTTAGAATTAGGACATGGATCATTAATTATAATTTTTGGTGCTATTATTGTCTTTCAGAACTGTAATACTAATAAATTAGAAGGTGAATTAGTTCCAAATTCAGTTTATCTATGGGATCCAAAAATTCATGAACCATCAAATAAAGGACGTAAGCGATGCAATGCAGAAGGATGGAATGATATTCCGGATTTTATAAAAAATTCAAATATTACTCCCAATCAAAATGACTATCATGGCAACTTTAATTCTGAAATTTTTGAATCACTATTTGAAAAACTTTGTGAAACTGTTAAAGAAAAATATGGTGAAGTAGATTTTCATATGGACGGGCCAGATATCATAAGCGACGAAATGAAAAAGTTCCTACAACATCATCAAAAAAAGCTGAAATAATTGAATGGTTAGAAAACAAACAAATTTCTGTTTCAGAAAAAGCATATAAATCTGAACTTTTAGAAATTGTAAAAAGACA